CCTAAGCAAGTCAATGCAATAGAGGGAGTTAGTATGATGGTAAACAAGAGAAGGGAAAAAGGTCCACAAGTGCAAAACCATGTGGAGATTTATATGCAAGAAGATAGTGGGTTTGATCAAGATGAATCTTACAATGAACAAGAGGAGGAAGTGCAATACGTGAACAACTTTCAAGGGCAAACAAACAACTCTCGAAGCTCGAATCAACAACAATGGCAACCTCAAGGTAATCAATATAATTGGAACTCGAACAACCAAGGCAATTGGAATGGTAACAACAATCAAGGAAATTGTACTGGTCAAAATAACCAAGGCTATTGGAGTGGCAACAACCAAGGATATTGGGGAGGCAACAACCAAGGGGGATGAAAAAATAACCAAGGCAATCGGGGGTCGGGCTTTCAAAGGCCCCTGATGTATCAACAACCGAACAACCCCCTCCTTATCCTTCCCATGGTCCAAGTTCTTCCAACAATGAGATGGGACGAATTGAGAATATGTTCAAACAAATGATAGAGAAGAATGCCGACACCGATGCCCAACTAGACTCACACAACACATCAATTCGCAACTTAGAATTTCAACTAGGGCAAATCTCTCAAGCTTTAAACACTCGTCCTAAGGGGAAACGACCAAGAGACACGGTGGTGAACCCAAAGGGTGGGAACATCACGGGACACGCCATGGCCAGTACTACAAGGAGTGGAAAAGGTGGGAATACACCCACCTCAAGTCAAAGGAAACTTGTGGATGATGAGCAAATGGTACAAGAAGATGAGATCCCGAATAATGAGGTGCAAGCAAATGAAGAAGTACGGATTGATATTGATGACACTGTGGAGGAGACTGAAGAGGAAGCGAACCTGTCTAGGGAGCACATTGTTGACATACCGGTATCGGTAGTGCAAAAGGATAAGGCACCAATGCCTAGGCCTCCTTCTCCATATCCTCAAAGGCTTGCCAAACAAAATGGCGAGAATCAATTTAAAAAGTTCATAGACATAATGAAGAGTCTATCTATCAATGTGCCATTGGTTGAAGCTTTGGACAAAATGCCCAGTGATGCAAAGTTTATGAAGGACTTGGTAACAAAGAAGCGGTCGATGAATGTGAAACTATTAAGATGACTCACCAAGTGAGTGCAATTGTGCATTCAATGGCTCCTAAATTGGAAGATCCTGACGCTTTCACTATTCCTTATACCATTAGAAGTGCTGAATTTGCTAAAGCCATTTGTGATCTTGGGGCAAGTATTAATTTGATGCCCTATTCGGTTTTTAAGACTTTGGGAATTGGGCAACCAAGACCCATATCTATAAGATTACAAATGGCCGATCGTACTATGAAGAAACCGTTGGGAGTGATTGATGACGCTTTGGTCCGTGTTGATAAATTCGTTATTCCGGCAGATTTTGTTATTCTTGATTGTGAGGTTGACAATGTGGTACCGGTTATTCTTGGGAGACCTTTCCTTGCTACAGGGAAGGCTCTAGTTGATGTTGAAATCGGAGAACTTACCTTCTGGGTTGGTGATGAAAAAGTGGTTTTCCATGTGTGTAAGTCTATGAGGCAACCTAATAGCAATGAGGTGTGATCTTTCGTGGACTTGGTGGCCGATGTGATTGTGGATGAAACAAGTGATGTGATGAATGTTGATGATACATTGGAGGTCGTCTTGCTCAATTGTGATGATGAAGAAATGGAGGGTTACGTGGAATGTGTGAACTCTTTGCAAGGAATAGGGTCGTACACTTATGAGCCCCGCAAATTGTCCTTGGATCTTGAAAATAGAACCACTCCTCCAACAAAGCCATCAATTGAGGAGCCTCCCATCTTGGAGTTGAAGCCATTGCCTCCACATCTTCGGTATGGAATTCTTGGCCCTTCTTCTACTTTACCGGTTATTCTTTCCTCTCGTTTGAGTAACGTGCAGGTAGATTCTACATTGGCGGTCCTACAAAAGAGGAAGAAGGCTATTGCATGGACATTGGTGGATATTCGGTGAATAAGCGCCACATCTTGCATGCACAAGATTAACTTGGCAGAAGGTTCCAAACTATCTATTGAGCATCAAAGGAGACTCAATGAAGCCATGCAAGAGGTTGTCAAAAAGGAGATCATCAAGTGGTTGGATGTCGGCGTTGTTTACCCCATTTCCAATAGTTCGTGGACTTCTCTGGTTCAATGTGTCCCAAAGAAAGGGGGCATGACGGTGGTCACCAATGATTAGAATGAGTTGATTCCTACAAGAACGGCGACCGGGTGGAGAGTGTGTATGGACTACCGTAAGCTCAACAATGTCACAAGGAAGGATCATTTCCCACTTCCCTTCATAGATCAAATGCTTGATAGATTGGCCGTTCGTGCTTTCTAATGTCATTTCATTGTTGAGAAAGGCATTGTCCTTGGACAAAACATCTCAAAGAATGGCATTGAAGCGACAAGGCAAAGATTGAGGTGATTTCTAAACTTCCACCTCCAACTTCAGTGAAAGGCGTGTGGAGTTTCTTAGGCCACGCGAGATTTTACCGGCGTTTCATCAAGGATTTCTCTAAAGTTGTGAACCCATTGTGCAAGCTTTTGGAGAAAGATGCCAAGTTTCATTTCAATGATGAGTGCATGAAAGCCTTTGAATTGCTAAAGCTAAAGTTGACTACTACTCCCATTATCACCGCTCCAATTTGGAGTATTCCTTTTGAGCTCATGTGTGATGCAAGTGATGTAGTGGCTATTTTGGAGCAACGCATAAACAAGATCTTTCATCCGGTCTATTATGCAACTAAGACCATGAATAGTGCCCAAGTCAACTACACCACTACGGAGAAAGAGCTTCTTGCCATTGTGTTCTCTATTGAGAAGTTCCACTTGTACTTGATGGGTGCAAAAGTAATTGTGCATACGGATCATGCGGCACTTCGTTATCTTATGAGCAAGAAAGATTCCAAAGCTCGGCTGATGAGATGGGTACTTTTGTTGCAAGAGTTTGATATAGACATCCAAGATCGAAAAGGGAGTGAAAACCAAGTGGCGGATCACTTGTCTCGTTTGGAGGAGGAGGGGAGGCCACATGATGGCATTGAAATCAATGACTCCTTCCGTGATAAGGAATCTTGGCTATTTCAATGAAAGAGGTGACTTGGTTCGCAGATCTAGCAAATTATCTTGTGAGTGGTACCATTCTGGTTGAGTTCTCTTCAAACCAAAGGAAGAAGCTCAAACGGGATTGTCAAGACTATTATTAGGATGAACCGTACCTTTTTTGGATTTGTACGAATGGAGTGGTTAGAAGATATGTACCGGAGGACGAACAAGTTGAAATTCTTGGGGCTTGTCATTCTTCGTTGTATGGTGGTCACCATGGTGGAGAATGAACGGCAGCCAAAGTGTTAAGTTGCGGTTTCTATTGGCCCACTCTTTACAAGGATTCAAGTGATCTAATTGATATGGGGCTATATTTCCATAGTTTCGTAAATTATGTTCCTTGCATTTTATATTCTTTAATATAAATTACACTTTAATTGCATGTAATGGAGTCTATTTTATGGGTAGGTGAATTGGAGATGAAAGTAGATCAAAAAGGATACTTAAATGTTGAAAGTGTGCTCGAGAACAGTGAAAAGGAGAGACCAGGCTTTAGCCTAGCGAGGCCAGCCAAAGGCCAGGCAAAAGTTGGCATTAGTTTGTCGTTGCAAGGCAAAGGCCAGGCTGAGGCTGGCGTTAGGCTGGCGACGCCAGGCCTAGGGCCAGGTCCAGTCCGAGTTTTCAAGATTTAATTCGTTTCCCGGTTTGACTAGGACTCGACCTACACATTTAGGTCTTTTCCTACACATATAAATAGACGTTAAAATGCCACTTTGAAGGGAGTTGGGCAACCAGAGGCAAGAACATCATGTGGACAACTTTTGGAGGAGAAAATCATAGAGTTCTTCATCCCTTTTTCTTTTCTTTGTAATTTGTTTATGCAAACTACTTGGAAAGTTATTATTATGAACATGAGTGGCTAAGCACTCTACGTTCTAGGGTTGTGGTTGACATGATTATTAACGTTTATTGATTACATCTTCGTTAATACGGATTATCATCTTGTGGTTATTTCTCTAATTCTGTGCATAATTGCTTAATTGTCAGGCTAGCAGTTGAGTTCCATTTACTATCTATGCTATGCTTTGGAAAGCCGTGTTTAGATTAGAGTAGAATTAGAGAGAGCTTGTTTCTGAACCCGTGGCTCGAAGAAGACTTCGCGGTTAGGATAGGAATATACCTAACAGTCTTGCTTAATTGAATATTGTATCATGTTCGTTCATGATAGATCCAATCCCGTAGGAATATAGGGTTGATATATTGTGGGCAGGCGAGTAGTATTGTGGGAACATGCTATTCATATAAAAGATCCGGCTAATTAGAAACCATAAATAATCTGGATTATCGAGTGTGAATTTTTGAACTTAATAGGATTGATAAACCAACCACAACCCTAGAATTTCCATCTCCTCTTAAGTAAAATCTCGGCATACAATATCGCATTCTTGATAGTTTAGTTGTTATTTATTTAGTTTCCGCAATAGTAGAATGATATAAAAATACCACTCTCAAATATCTTGGACAATTAATTAATTTTAGTTGGCTTAATTAACGATCAATCCAAGTCTCTGTGGGTTCGACATCCGACTTTCCAGTCACTTTATTACTTGACGACCATGTATACTTGTGTGTGTGTTTGGTCCCAACAAGTTTTTGGCTCCGTTGCCGGGGACTTAGTTATTGATTTTTTAGCTGAGTTAAGTTGTTATTCGTTATTTGTTCAAGTTTTAATTTTTAGTTTGCTTTATTTGTGATAACGCAAGCTCTTCTCTTGAATACGGAGGAGTAGAAGTGCAAACAATCTCCTTCCTCTTGATCCTGAAATTGAATGAACACTTCATAGAGTGAGGAGGAAATTTGAAGCTAGAACTAGAGTTGAAAGAGAGTTGGACATCGTAGTTCAACCACAGCCAATAGAGATGGCAGGTAATGAAGAGCGTCCGGTGATAGAAGCCGCAAGGCCCAATCTGGCTCTGATGACTCAGGCGGTTGTGAAGCCTGATATCATGGGTTACTTTAAACTCAAACAGTACATGGTACAGCTGATTCAATCCACAGGGCAGTATGTGTGTCTATCTCAAGAAGACTCGTAGAGGCACATTCAGAACTTCCTAGAAATTACAAACACTTACCATTATTCGAACGTTTCCAAGGACTATGTCAGGCTGACACTGTTTCCCTTTTCACTGATGGGGGAAGCTATGGAATGGTTAAAAAAGGAGCCCGCGAACTCAATCCACAATTGGGATGATCTAGCAAGGAAATTCTTAATGAAGTTTTTTCCCACAAAGAAGACAAAGTCGCTGAGGAGCCAGATTCTTGGGTTTCAACAACGAGATGGTGAGACCCTTCGACAAGCTTGGGAAAGATTCAAGAAGTTACTCAGAGACTGCCCACACCATTGTCAAACTGATGAGGTATTGGGTCACACCTTTGTTGATGGGTTGGACGAGGCATCAAAGATGAATCTTGACTTACCATGTGGGGGTAGTTGCATGGCATGACCGCATAGTGAGATCCAGATCTTTCTTAACAATTTCACTACTAATGATAATAATTGGCAAGGAGATGGGGAACTACGAAGAGCACTTAAACAAAAGGCAGCAGGTGTGATCGAGCTTGATGACTTCTCAGCAATGAGGGCAGAAATAGCGAGATTAGCAAATCAGATGAATAAAGTGGCAATGCACCATGCACAACAAATGCAACATGTGCAACAGATGTCTGCTTGTTACGAGTTATGTGGTGAAGGTCACACTAGGGACATATGTACCGTGAATCCTGAATCAATCTACTATGTGGGGCAACAAGCTAGAGGGTCGATGAATCAACATGCTCAATATGGTAACACATACAATCTGAATTGGAGGAATCATCCTAACTTCTCTTGGGCTGGAAATCAGAATATCAGGCCTCAAGCGAAATACAATCATCCACCTCAACCCTCACAGCAAGCGGAAGAGAGTTTGACTGACTTGATGAAAAAGCTCTTGATAGACAATCAGCAATTGTGCATAGAATTCAGAAATCTAGAGAGGCAGTTTGGGCAGATGGCTAACAATCAGAATACTAGACCTGCTGGAGCTCTCCCGAGTGATACTAAACATAATCCTAAGGCTCAAGTCAATGCAGTTACCTTGAGAAATGGAAGAGAATTAGAAGAAGTTCCAGAGAAAAATAAGTATACAGCTAGATCTGAAGGAGAATTAGTTCCTAAGCCATTTGAGGAGAATAAGAAAGAAAAGCCAGAAATTGTGACAAGGCCACCACCTCTGTTTCTACAAAGATTGCAAAAGCAAAATGATGATGCTATGTACAAGAAATTCTTAGATATATTGAGTCAAGTGCGTGTGAATTTGCCTTTGGTGGAAACTTCGCAGGAAGTGCCTGAGTATGCAAGGTATCTCAGACATATTGTGGCAAACAAGCAAAGACACACAGAATGTGAAACAGTTGCACTTACTGAAGAGTGTAGTGCTAGAGTTCAGAGTAAACTCCCTCCTAAGTTCAAGGATCCTGGGTGTTTAACAATTCCTGTCTCTTGGAAAACAAGAAGTTGGTAAAGCCCTGTGTGATTTAGGGGCTAGTATAAATTTGATGCCATCCTCTTTGTTCAAGCAACTCGGATTGGGGGTGCTTAGACCTACTACAATCGCTTTACAGTTGGCAGATAGGTCACTAGTTATGCCAGAAGGAATTATTGAGGATGTGTAGTTTGAGTGGGAAAGTTTATTCTTCCTGCTGATTTTATGTTCTTGATTACGAAGCAGATGAGGAAGTACCCATTATTTTGGGGCGACCATTGTTAGCTACTGGTGGAGCGCTTATTGATGTTAGGGAAGGGAAGTTGAAGATGAGAGTTGGCAATGAGGAAATTACTTTTAATGTGTACAAGGCACTTAAGCTCCCTAAGCATTATGAGAATTTGTGAATGATTACTGCGGTAGAACTGAAGGGGATAGAGCAGAGTCCTTATGTGAATTGTAGTGATTCGGATAGGACGACTGAGTTGGAGGAGGTGGTGTTGCAAGCTGAGTGTGTAAGGATGATTGAAAAAAGAGCCAGAGATGAAAGAGGAGATCTGCTGAGAGCGTGTAAAAAGGCTAGGCTTAATGGGAGAAAGAAGAAGAGAAAGCGCACAGCCTGAGCACAGTAGCAGTGTCGTGCCGCGACGTTAAACCAGGCGCTTGTTGGGAGGCAATCCAGCTTCACTATTTTCTTTTATTTTTATTTTTTCTTATTATTGTTGTATTATTTATTCTTGTTTTGTAAGATATTAAGCATAGGGAGTAAAGCCATGGGAAGTGTGCAAAAGTGAGTTAGATGGTGAGAACTAAGTGTGGGGTGCCACAAAAAGGACCATGCTTGGGGGAAGTCTGAGTACCCGTGAGTCGCTATTGCTTCGGCCTTTGGCCTTTCAGGGAGTTTCTTGTCAACCCTTGTTATTGTTTTGCTTTATTTGTACATTGGGGACACTACACTCTTTTAAGTGTGGGGTGGGAGAATTCTCTAGATGATTAGTAGGATGTAGAAAAAATGTTAACTTCTTATTTGTGATCTCGTAGTTGTGTAGTAGTTATGTAGTATTTTAGTAGCTATGAAAAAAATCGGAAAAAAAATAGAAAAACTGGCCTCTTCCCGACGATGGATCTCCTAGACAGTTTTCTTGAGGGATTTAAGTCTATAAAAAAAGGACAAAATTGTAGGTAGTGTATTATTCCCCCTTGGTTTTTCTTTGTGTCGCGGTTCTTTTCCAAAGGTTTTGTTTGAACCGGGTGTAGGTAGTTTTATTTTTTTAAGAGAGGAGCCATGGTGATGTGAATTGAATTGAAGCAATATCTCTTGACATTGTTATGCCTTGAGAATAGTGAGTACTTTGGTTGTGACGCTTAGGCTCAGTTTTTGTCTCTTGTATAAGTACCTTAAATTGTATAATCTTAAATTTGCTTAACTGCTTTGACTAGAGTGTCTTGATGAGTCCAATCCTGAGTGAGTTATGTGCCATATGTGTGTGAGGTTTGTGTGTTATTCTGTGCATTACATTTGATGTCCAGAACTTGCCCCGTGTGTTTGCAAAGCGAAATGGTAGTTTTGTTCAGTCTTGGAAGTGATATAGGCGTTTCTTTGTTGAGCCAAATATATATATTTTTCCTGCCTAATTGTTATGCATCGTCGTTAACCCCGTTGAGCCGGTAAACCTGTTTCTTTGGCAACCACATTACAAGCCTTACCCACTTGTTTGAATTAACCATCTATTTGAACATTTTCACCTCTCATGAGCACTTGAATTTTCATGAACTTTGTAAAAGTTAAAGTGTGGGGTGATTGGTTTTGCTTTTGAGTGGAACTAATGAAATAAGGAGAAAGGTGCACTGTTTTGAAAAAGTAAGAGCCACTTGAATTGAAAAAGAAGAAAAAAATATAGTTGTATTGCTGTGAAAGTATTCCGTGATAGTGGTGACTCTTGATGTAGTTGTGCTTAAAGACGTATGGAGTTAATATACATTGATGTGAAAGTGGAGTTATGGTTTGATATAAGTATGGGGGTTTGAATGTTAAAGTATATGTATTAAAGTGCTTAGGGAGGTGTAGTCACTCATATCCAAATGTATCCTACCCGACCCGCAGCCTACATTACAACCAATGAAAGTCCTACTTGATCTTAGACTGAATGAGCTCGATTAGTCGAGTATTACACTACGGGCAAGCCTTTGGTGCATCTTTTGTAGCATAAGAATGTATTTCTGAGAGTGAGTGAATTCTTTCTATCTTGAGTTCCTAATTGTTCTTAAATTTTATTGTGTGTGGAATACTATCTTTTGTTGTGTGAGGGCACTTGATTCATGAAGGAAAGGTAATGTTATTTACCTCTATGTTAGAGTAAGTGAGTGAATTGTGAAATAATGCATCGTACTTGTGAGTAAAATCTTGAGGTAAAGATGTTACACCCTTGTGCTTAGTCTATTTTAAAGATTCTTGGTGTGATGAGTTGGGAGGATTGTTTAAAAAGGTTGTCTCTATACGGGTAGTTTGATTCCTCGAGGACGAGCAATGTTTAAGTGTGGGTATTGATGTGGGGCTATAATTCCATAGTTTCGTATATTATGTTCCTTGAATTTTACATGCTTTAATGATAAATTACACTTTATTTGCGCGTAATGGAGTCTATTTTATGTGTAGTTGAATTGGAGATGAAATTAGAGCAAAAATGATACTTAAACGTTGAAAGTGTGCTCGAGAACAGTGAAAAGGAGAGACCAGGCTTTAGCCTGGCGAGGCCAGCCAAAGGCTAGGCTGAAGCTGGCATTAGGCTCGCGCTGCAAGGCAAAGGCCAGGCTGAGGCTGGCATTAGGCTAGCGCTGCAAGGGAAAGGCCAAGCTGAGGCTGGCGTTAGGCTGGCGACGCCAGGCTGGGGCTAGGTCCAGTCTGAGTTTTGAAAACTTAATTCGTTCCCGGCTTGACTAGGACTCGACCAACATGTTTAGGTCCTTTCGTACACATATAAATAGACCTAAAAATGCCACTTTGAAGGGAGTTTGGCAACGGAGGCAAGAACATCACGTGGTCAACTTTTGGAGGAGAAAGTCATGGAGTTCTTCATCCCTTTTTCTTTTCTTTGTAATTTGTTTATGCAAACCACTAGGAAAGTTGTTATTATGAACATGAGTGGCTAAGCACTCTACGTTCTAGGGTTGTGGTTGACATGATTATTAACGTTTATTAATTACATCTTCGTTAATTCAGATTATCATCTTGTGGTTGTTTCTCTAATTTTGTGCATAATTGCTTAACTGTCTGGCCAGCAGTTGAGTTCTATTTACTATCTATGCTATGCTTGGGAAAGCCGTGTTTAGATTAGAGTAGAATTAGAGAGAGCTTGTTCCTGAACCCGTGGCTCGGGGAAGATTTCGCAGTTAGGATAGGAATATACCTAGCAGTCTTGCTTAATTGAACACTGTATTATGTCCGTTCATGATAGACTCAATACCATGGGAATATAGGGTTGATATATTGTGGGCGGGCGAGTAGTATTGTGGGAACATGCTATTCATATAAAAGATTCAGTTAGTTAGCAACCATAGATAATCTGGATTAACGAGTGTGAATTTTTGAACTTAATAGGATTGATAAACCAACCACAACCCTGGAATTTCTATCTCCTCTAAAGTAAAATCTCCTCATACAATATCGCATTCTTGATAATTTAGTTGTAGTTTGTTTAGTTTCCGCAATAGTAGATTAATAGAAAAATATCACTCATCTTGGACAATTAATTGATTTTAGTTTGCTTAATTAACGATCAATCTAAGTCTCTGTGGGTTCGACATCCGACTTTCTAGTCACTTTATTACTTGACGACCATGTATACTTGCGTGTGTGTTTGGTCCCAACAAGTTTTTGATGCGTTGTGATGAATGTCAAAGGGCCGGTGGAATCTCAAAGAAAAATGAAATGCCCCTCATCACCATTTTGAGATTGATATTTTCAATGTGTGGGGTATTGATTTCATGGGTCCTTTTGTGAGTTCTTGTGGAAACACCTACAACTTTGTCGCGGTTGATTATGTGTCCAAATGGGTTGAGGCCATTGTTTTCCCAACAATGAAGCGAGAAGTGTGGTGGTGTTTTTGGAAAAAGAACATTTTTACAAGATTTGGTACTCCAAGGGCTATCATAAGTGATGGGGGATCGCATTTTTGCAACAAAGCTTTCGATACCTTACTCACCAAGTATGGTGTCACTCATAAAGTCACGGATCCCTATCATCCACAAGCAAGCGGTCAAGTGGAAGTCTCCAACCGGGAGATAAAGAGTATTTTGTCCATAACAGTGAATGCTAACTGGACAGATTAGTCCAAGAACCTTGATGATGCTTTATGGGCTTATGGGACGGCTTACAAAACACCGATCGGAATGTCTTTATACCGGTTGGTGTTCGAAAAAACTTGTCATCTTCCGGTGGAACTTTAGCACAAAACCATGTGGGCTTTAAAGAAGTTTAATCTTGATTGGGATGTCGCCGCCAACTTAAGGGTGGCACAATCGAATGAGTTCGATAAGTTCCGGTACCATGCATACACAAGTTCGTCCTCATACAAGGACAAGATGAAGTACCTCCATGACAAGTACATTCGGAACAAGGAGTTTAAAGAAGGTGATCTTGTGTTGTTGTTCCATTCTCGGTTACGGATGTTTTCGGGAAAGTTAAAGTCTAAGTGGAGTGGCCCGTTTGAGGTTGTGGGTGTGACATCCTTTGGTGCATTGGACTTGAATAAAAAGGATGAGGTGTTTAGAGTCAATGGTCACCGGGTGAAGCACTATCTGGGAAAAGTTGGTGATGGCCACGTCGTGGCGGTAATTCATTTCAAGTGATGATGGTAATATGCGTCATGCCGCAATATTAAATCTGGCGCTTCTTAGGAGGCAACTCATGTTTCTTTTTCTTTTTCTTTTTCTTTTTATTTTTCTTTTTCTTCTTATTTAGATAGGTCTTATTTTGTGCTAACTAGTTTTGAAGTGTGTTGCAGGAATGAGTGTGCTTTTCAGGGACTGTGCTTAGAAAAATTGGCTAAGTATGGAAAAAGTGTGGATTGCACATTATTGTGCGGACCGCACAATTTGGAATGCCACAGCAGAAGGGATCTGCGCAGCATAATTCTTATGTGGACCGCAACACTGGAAATATAAAAATTGCACACTCTCTGAAGTTTACCTGTCAGAGAAATGGCCAAAGTGCGGCCGCACAAGGAAATGTGCGGCCCGCACTTAAATCTGCGGTCGCACAAGGAATTCTATGGACCACAGATCATCAAAGGGTAAATGTGTAACAGGTAAAAGTGTGCGGACCGCAGATGAAATTCTGCGGCCGCACTCATTTCTTCAACACTTGCCCAACCCGTTAAGTATAAATAGTGGCCTTCACTATACTGTTACAACTTTACACTCTCTGAGAATTGAAACACAAGCTAAAACATTGCACTCAACTGATTCACTCATCTGACACTTCATTCATCATCTTTGATCCTTCCTTAGCACCACTTCATCACTGGTTATTCAAATCATCTTTAGAATTATTCAATTTTCTTAAATTAGTTTATAATTTGTTTAGTTATTTTTAGACCAATTGTCAAATTCATGACCATGTAGG